AATCCGTCTTGTCTATATTTGCATAGCATTGGTGCTGATGAAGATAGCTTTGGCAAAGATGACGTAGCTGCGATTCATACAAGGTATTCAAGATACAAAACTTCCCTCCAATACTGACGTGCTCCCTCTGATGTGCATATGTGATCTGAGGTTAATTTAGAGAGTAGTGTATGACTGCATCACCCGTAATAAACTATAGCTATCATATATTTCTAGTGTCCTCTTTTGGGTGGGATGAAACACAGTGCATAAAAGAAGAATCAGTTTTTCAGTTTTGCAATACATCCAATTGGTGTTCTGCAAGCTTTACAGGCAGAAACTGGTGTTCCAAGTATATGATTTTGATACTTGGTTGACAAGAATGATGTTCCTGTTGCACCCAAGTAGATATCATTTTGGTCAACTTGGTGTTGAAGGTCTCATGTTGCCAGTTCCAAAAAAAAGCATGGTGCTGAAGGTCTCTTGAAGGTCACTCTGCACATGCTAATATCCAGTGACACATTATTGCCTATTACTGTAACATGAATATATCTTCCTTGAGAATTGGTGAATGCCAACCTGTTTATTTTCTTGGTGAGATACGAAGGAATTTTCTATTATGGATAATAAATAATGAGGAGGTAGTTTGCATTTTCCCCTGTTTCCCATTTCTTGATATAATAGGCTGTGATGGCCTGTGCTAGCACAAGCCCAACATCGTAGACGTTGGAACTTTCATTGTTAATGGACTTAATTTTGATATGAAATTGCAAATAATGAAAATTAATACATGTGAGTGACCATCAAATTAGATATAGACATCATCACAGCACATAAACAGAGTTATTCTGTTTATAAATGAAATGACTAATATGCTCTCAGCTTGTAATTTAAATTCCATTGAATAGATATATCGAAACCTATAGCTGTTCTGTATAATATAAATAACTGCCTTGCCTTGGACAATGTCAATGTTTATTTCTTTTGCTAATTGAATGTTGACTCTTCTGATCTTCAATGATACTTTTTTCCCAAGGAATGCCTGCAGATTTGTTCTAGTGGACCTTAGAGGTTCCTGAAGTTTATATATTTCTGTAGTTGGTCTAACTGAAGGGTTTTATGTAATTGTTGCTTTGCATAGTAAAATTCTCCTGGGTATAGTCTCAGCATTGGTTTCATTTGTTGGTTATACAGGAATAGAGTTCAACAAATAGCTGGTGACGCCAGTAATATGATGAATCGTTCAGGAAATGTCTTGCCACCTCCAATTGATGAATTATCTAGCACTGGCTTTACATTGACTGAGACATCTAGCATTAGAAATGCTGCAAGTGTAAGAAACCTTGATGTTTAGTTCTGCATTAAGCAAAAGTATCTAAACATTTAGCTTCAGTTTCAGCACAAAAGTTGCTGTAGTTTTCTTTTATATACTGTATGGATTCTTTGGTTTGAACTGCAAAAATGTTCACCGAATGCTTTTTATTTGATTTAGGATGCATCAAATGATACAGTGAATTACAGTAGCTACATGGCTCATGTAGTTCCTCATGATAAGGATGGAGACGCTGGTGGACCAAACAGAATGACAACGTTTGTTGATATTGTTGGACGGTACAATACTTCTGGTGCAGAGAGCGATGGAAATAGCACGGAAGATTGTAGGATTTTGAATTTATCTTCTGACCTATCTTCAGTAACCATTAGTAAAGATAATCATAGACATGAAAAATATCCTGATAAAACTTTGTTCAAGGTTCCATCTTCAAATCACATTGTCAATCATCCGCGAGGCAACCTAAATTTTGTTGAATTTTCAGATGAACCTTACAGGGAAGATTATACATCTTTTGACAGTCAAGGACTGAAGGATCCAAATAACATGGATCAAAAGGCTTTTCTTATGCCATCTTGTTCTACTCAATCCACAGAGAACTCTGGTAGTCGTTTATTAGTACCTACGCCATGTAGTCTGAGTAGCAATGGAATGGATTATGGAGCTTTACATAATCAAGTGGATGAAGCTTCTCTGCCACATTCATGTGTAAATGCGATATTAAATGAAGGACTTCATGACTTGAAGTTCCAAAGTTCTGTCAAATCTGATAGGGTTTACAGAAGTTCTACCTCATTTTCCAATGAAGAAATAGTGGAGCACCTACGGAGGATTGATGGTGATAACTTGACGAACTATCAAGATTCTTCATTCAATGCCATAGAAAGCAGTGTTATTTCAAATATTATGTCAAAGGACTTGAATTCATGTGATGATTCAATGGCCTTGCGTCGTAGTTTTGTTGGCTCGTATGGTGAGTCTGTTGGGAAGCATGGTGCTTCCTGGAACTCTTTGCACAGCGACCAATTAGGGTTCTCTTTTGTGAAGCAAGATGACTTTTCCTGGCAAGGAGGTGATTTGGAGTCGTCTTTTAGAAATATTGGTCAGATATCAAAGAATTCGTCCATCCTTCAGGATTTCGGAGAAAACAAGGATCAGTATGTGAACAAGGCTCCCTATCAAAGTAAGTGTTGGCAGGCTTTTCCTTATTTTATTTAGTAATACAGTTAGGTTTAGCTCCATTTCAACAAAAAAAACTTGAATTTAGCTCCCTGTATTATCTTCCATTGATTCTTTTTTCATTTTTTTGGGAATCAATTCGACCCTTGCTTGTCTATAGGTTTTCTATTCTTTGATTGTTAGAGAAAACCATGACACTAGCTTCAATTCTTAGCTTTGCTTATGTTACTGCATTAGTTGCTTTCAGTGTATATATATTAAGGTATTTGGTCATAGTTTTGACAATTTTTCTTGCTTATGTTGGATTGCTAGCTACCCTATCCTTGCTTAGTTTTGACAAGCTTTCTGGCTTCAATTATCCCTGCTTTGTTTGGTATTGCTCTAAAGGGTGAAGAAGAGATGAGTTTTCCAGGCTTCAAAATGTATTCCAATGAGGAAATACAAAGGGATTTAATTTGTATACGTGCATTTTCTCTGACCTCTATAACTTAACCTACCTAGTTGCTGCGCCATAGTGTTCTCTTTCATACTTGTGATTCAATTGATTATTGTATACTGAAATCTCTGAGCTGTCTAACAGTCACCAGACCAAAAGTTTCGGCTCCACCTGGGTTCTCAATGCCCCCAAGGGACCTGCCTCACGGTTTTGCCTCATCTGATGATATAGGAGGAATGCCTCGTTCTCTTTCTGGTAACTCTCACATTTAAATTTCACAGTTACATTATAAGCTGTGTCTTGTTGTGAATGAAGTTAGTATATAGTTCTTATACTGCTATTTCTACAAGTAGCCGTTCAGTAAATAGTTCTTGTACTGCTATTTCTACAGGTAGTCGTTTAGTAAATAGTTCATCAAGTTTGCTTCACACACCATCAACCGGAAGCATTAGCAGTGCTGGTGATATCGATTTTGTTGACCCTGCCACATCAGTCTTTGGAAATGGCAAACCAACAAATGGTTTTGATATATCAGCCTTGGAGATCGGGTCAGCTTGTGTGCCACAGAGGAGAGGGTTTGAAGACGAAGCAAGAATCTGGCATCTTATGCAACAAAAACCTTTAGATCAAGGGAAATTCTCTCAACGAATTGCTTCTCAAACACCATCCATGCATCAGTCACGAAGGCATCCTAGCCATGGCGGAGATGAGTATCTTGGCCTGGATGATATATATGGCTTCTCATCAAGGATGGTGGATCAACACCAAAGTTTCAATTCATCTTCCTATTCACAATTTCCACAGCAGAAGCTTGCGACAAATGACCACATCTTTAATGGCTTCCAGCACAATAGCTTGGACGATATCCATCGTGGTAATGAAGTGGACAACATGACACAACACCAGTCAAATGATTCATTAGGTTTCAAAAAATTCTATGCTGGATATGGAGATGTGATGTTCCAGACGCCCCGGTCTGGCGATGTATACACCAGAGTATTTGGGATGTAACACACAAGACACTTTACTAAAATGAAATTGTCCCCAACTATTTTGTGTTGTTTGCAGAAAATTATAAATATGTTACCAGTTAATTACACATACTTGCCTGGTGTTGGCTTTTTTTCAAGTTGAGGTGTGGAGCCAATTATTTGTTTCTCATTTTCCAATCATCCATTAGCTGATTAAAAAATCACATTTATCTCATCACTCATCAGTCCGTATTATATTTTCCTCTGTTTTTTTTTTTTGCTTTAGAAATGAAAGTATTTTAGAAAAAATTATAGATTTGGCTTCAATTTTTTTTGTTGCGTTATTACTTATTTGTTACATTTTGACCATTAACCTCGATCAGAAATGAATACAAAATGTAAATTTATGGGTTCATATAACAATATAGAATTAAATTTACAATCATATAGTTGTAGATAATTCATAATAAAAATATTATATATATATATATATATATATATATATATATATATATACATATATACACTGCTATTCACATGACTTTCATGTTATATGTGCACCTTATGGTAATGGTAGAGTTTTCAATTCGACATGAACTTACATATTTACTGCATTATGATATAATATTAGGTACTTCATGTATAAGGTGATTAGTATAATAAATGCAACTGCATAACCAAAATTCTATTATCTATGAATCACTATTTCTTTTGTTTGTTAATTTTTTAACGTGAATATATGATTATTTGTTGAAATCAATTATACGAATTCACCTTTATATGTGTGGATATTAGAATAAAATTTATATATTAGTACGTTTTCTACTTATTTAGTATATTTGATCATAGATTTTCAATCTTTTATTTATTATAAAAAATTAAGCGTTTGATCATAGATTTTAAATATATTTTATTTTTTATAATAGTAAAAAAATAGAGTACGAATCGAAATCTTAACATTAAATTTGGAATTTTTATAATCAAACATTGATTACCAATTTTTAAAAATTATGACCAAACTACCCCTATATTCATATACATTTTACTAATATATTAAACCCAAAAAAAAAATAAAAAATAGAAGCATATTTAGCCCTATTTACTTACAAACGTAGGTTCTGTTTCTTCCTCATATCTCTCTACCGTCCGATCTCTCAAATGCTAAAGCTTTCAATCCATCAACAAAGCGCGCCAAATACAAAAAAAATTTAACTTCATTTTCTTCTCTACTGATCCAGAAAGAAAACGAAGGGAAAATTGAAGAAAATTCAGAAAAAAATTCTCCGGTCAACAAGTTAGTAAGCATCTAAGGTTAGGTTATATAGTTTTTTTTTAAATTTTTTTTTGTGAATTTTATGGTGGTTGTTTTGTGTTTTTAGGGTTTGGATAGTATGGCAGAAGTTCCGGCGAGTCCAGGAGGTGGTTGTGGTAGCCATGAGAGTGGTGGTGAACGGAGTCCTCAATCGAATGTGAGGGAACAGGACAGGTACCTTCCGATAGCGAACATCGGTCGTATCATGAAAAAGGGATTGCCTACTAATGCTAAGATAGCTAAGGAGGCTAAAGATACTGTCCAGGAATGTGTTTCTGAGTTCATCAGTTTCATCACTAGTGAGTAAGTGTTTCTTTCACTTTTACTTGTTCAAATACACATGAATATTTTACCATATTAATACAATTGATGTGTAATTTAGTGTTAAATCTTGTGATATGATTTGGAAATAAGTAATCGATGTTGAAGGTAAAAGATAAAAAAATGTTTTCCATGCTAAAAGTGAAAATATATTTTAGTATAGCGGAGAAATAAAAATGAATTGAGGGAGTATAATGCTAGGATTTGAACTTTATGGATTCTAATTTAGTCCAGTGATATAAGCGTTCCTAATTGGGTTCTAAATTTAATTTTGTAGTTATTAGTGAATCTTAATACAATCTGGGTTGGAACCCATCGGCTTGTAGCTCCACCATGTGATATTAGGAAAATTGACATGCTCCCATTCCCTTTAGATTGATAATGGGATAAATACAGGTTAAAAGTTCATATTGTGAAAGCACATCCAAGTGTTCAGGAGTGTGTCTCTGAGTTCATGAGTTTGATCACCAGCGAGCAACTGTTATGTTGTTGTATTTGAACTTTATGAATTCGAAATTTTAGTATAGTGACATCAAATGCTACTAACTGGGTCCTAAACTTAATTTTTATACGTATGTATGTGTGTTTCTTAATATAAATACCGCATTTGAACTAAAGCAATTGGGTTTGGAACCCATTTGTTGGCTTGTAATCCTCCCCTATACTAATAGGAAAATCAATATACTTCCATACCCTTAGATTGATAATGGAATAAACACAGGTGGTGAGTTTTGTTAGTCAGAACACATCCAAGTGCTTCAATGAAGAGAAAAGAACAAATCAGTTAAGAGCGACATCATACAGTAGTCAATACAAGTTAAGAGATTTAATAGCTTCATATACCTAAGATTTATTTGAAATTTGATGTGTTATTAGTTCATTGTACTTACAAATGTTTAAATTTGAAGTGGTATTCTTGAATCTCGGAGTTCATTGTGCTCGGAGTCTCTTTTTAGGTTTAAAATATGGTGGAATCCAGATTTTTTTTGCAACTGTGTTCTCTACACATATTTTCTATGCGTATGGATGCAACTTAGATGATTTGCTATACTTGTTGAAACTACCATGTTTGATGTTCTTATGGATACGACTTAAATGATTTGCGATATATGTTGAAAAATTGTAGTGCATCTACATTTATGAGCTTCAAATTTTTTTGAACAAGAACAAAACAATGTTCGTAATTATTTTGAGCATATCGGAAACATTTGTAGGAAGAGTGTAAGTACTGTTGGTAAGGGCCTAAGAGGTGAGAAAGAGAGTCTGTGCGAGGGATGGAAGGAAACTTTTTTTTGGAGGCATTTGGGGGAGGGAAGTAGAGAAGAAAAAGAGGACAAAATGATTGGGCCCACTATGGGTGACAGAGGAATTTGGAGAAGTGTACATTCACATGTAATTCCACACCACATGAAGAATAGCACAAGTTGAGATTAAATGGTCTAGGTTGATACCAGTTGTCAAAGAATGGCAAATATGATACGAAAGGGTGACAAGGGTCTTTTTATTGCCAACTTTCAAAGGGGGTCAAAGTTTAACAATATCAAATAGTTGAGGAGAAATTTTGGAGCTTTTCCGTAGTTATTAATGATGTATAACATAGTAAAAAGGTGCCCCATATAACAAAAATGTTAGTCTATTTGTGTACACTGTATGTTTACTATATTCTTTCTTTAGATCAGAGAAATTCTATATGATAGTTTACTCTTTCTATGGGTACAGCTATTACTGTTTTAATGGTCAAGGTTTGAATTCCAAACCGTCTATATTCTCTTAGTCTTCAAGTGAGGACTTGTGTATTACTGTACATGTTAATAGATGATTGCAAATCGAAAAATTGTTTTATAAATAATGGTTCTGCGATAGTAGCTTTCTTTTAACTTAGATGTTGACATTTACTGATAACGTTGAAGTTGTAGTTTGTGGTCTTGCATGTGATTTTAAATGTGTTTCTGTCTTTTACAGGGCAAGTGACAAGTGTCAAAAAGAGAAGAGAAAGACGATTAATGGAGATGATTTGATATGGTCACTGACCACCTTAGGATTTGAGGACTACATTGAGCCACTAAAGGCCTATTTGATTAGGTACAGAGAGGTAATTGCAGTTTCTCCTCAGTTACTGATGATAAGTAAGCTTTGATAAATGAAGAAATCTTGATATTCTTGTGCGTGTGTTTATAATCGAGAACTAAAGAGAGAGAATAGTTCTTTTCTGCTCATCTGGAAGATTTTCTGTGTATCAGTGGTCTATATGAACTTCCTCTGTAGTTTTGAAGAACTTCTATTTTACCCCGTGTTATTATCTGATTATCAACTGATCAATGTCTCTTTTTCTGGTGATGAATCATTCTATTTGCTGGTCTGTGGGCTAATCATGGTATTGCAGATGGAGGTATGCATTGCTTCCCCGCATCAATGATATAGAGTTGCTTATTGTCTTTACCTCTGATATGTCACTAGCTATGCCTTGGGGATTGTTTCTAATGTCAGGGAGACACCAAGGGATCTTCTAGAGCTGGAGATACGTCTGCCAGAAACGATATAGTTGGAAGTCAGCTCAGTCCCGGTACACAGGTAAGAGGGTACCAAACTCTATTCACCATGTTCTGGTAATCTCAACCCTTATAGAAATTTAAGTAAATAGGTGTTACTATTTTGACTCCTATTTTTCGTGGACAATGGCAGTTTGTCTATGATGGGTCTTTTTCACAAGGCTTTGACTATGGGAACTCCCAAATGTGAATTTCCTAGTAAGTGCTTCTTCATTCTCTTCATACTAACCTTGCTTCTCTCTTTTGTTTTCTTTTAGCCTTTATTTATAACATCTTTTCATTGAGGAAAACCATTGGTTATCATCCTTTTATTAATTTTGATTTTCCATTGGAGTTGATTAGTTCCTGTATGTACCCTATGATGGCCCCCTTTCCTCCCCCACTATTAATTTATATATGAGGTGCACACGGAAATATTTAAATAAGAGACATTTACCTTTTTACATTCTTTAGGGCGAGATGAACAAATATCGAGCTAAACTTTCTTTAACTTGATCTCTTGTTTTTTTAACAAGTAAACAAGCAACAAAGGCAAGAAACTAGATCTGTCTAGGTACAGTGAAGCTACTAGAGTGTAATTGTTCCTTATAAATCTGGTAAGGAGTTGAGCAAGAGTAAAATGTCTGTAGTATACATCTTTAATATACATTAGAGGGCTAATATTTGCAACTGTTCTATTTTAAGAGACGTACTGTAACAAATACTAGGTTTAATTGATTGCAGAGAAGACTATAGTTTGGACAATGGGTAGATTAAAATTGGTGTTCATCGAGCTTCCTACCTCTCAAAAAGAGAGGGGTTGGGGAGATGGCTGCCTACCTCTCAATAGAGTGTATTAAGGTAAGATAAGTTGAAGCATATTTTTTGGGGAACTACAAATAAAAACTGTGATTTGATTTGTGTTAAGATTTGCATACGCTCTACTTTTTCCAGACCCCACTTATGGGATTACACCGGGAATGCTTCTTGTGGTTGTTGTTATACAAATACAAACTGTAAATTAGTATTAACATGAATGAAGAAGATTCTGTTGTGCGGAACAGAACTTTGATACTCTTGCTTCTCTGTTACTGTCTTGATAGTTGAATTCAAGTGCTGATTATGTTTGGTCGATTTGCAGTATTACAACGGTGCTGATGCGAGTATCTTCTGCCTAAAGTTCTTGTTTATCTATGTACTAAGCCATTCAATGGTTGCTGATAATATATGTTTGAAAGCTCTAGGAACCGAAAGTATCCTGCAAATCTTGAATTTAGCCATACTGCAAAACACTTTATTTTCTGAACTTCTCTTCCAGTACTTTGATGCTCTGTACATGTAACATGTAATTTGTTTTTTTTTGTTGTAAACTGAGAGCAATCTTCTTTTTCTGCAAAATTTGCTTGGTTCTAAGGGTGAGTGACCTTAACTTTTTGTATGAAGTTACTTTTAAGACATTTCTTTTGGAAGTTTACAGAAATATTCCTGGTGTTTTATGATTAGAAATAGTTACTGTGCAGCTGCATATTTCTAAAGGGCATCCCGGTGCACAAAGCATCCCCTTTTAGTAGGGTTTAGGAAAAGGGCCACACATGAAGAATTGTGAGGTAGACAGTCTACTCTAATGCTGCTTATACGGCTCAAATCTGTAAGGTATATATAGATCATATGGAAACAACTTCACTGTGCAGCTATATATTCCATATGTGGAATTTTCTGCTGAGATTAATCATATTCTAATACAATGAAAAAGACAGCCCCCTGCACATATAAACTGTTCAGAACTCAGCAGTGATCATTGCATAATTGTGGATACTGTGTAATGCTCATCAGAGCTGAGACTGCAACAAAGAAAGAGAAAGAAATGGTGGTATGGTTATAAAACAATTTCCAAATAAAAATGGGTTAGATTTTTGTATGGTCACTCACTTAATAGTTACTTATTATCTAAAAATGTCGTCCTTTTTCTTGATACTATTTTTTTTTTTAATAAAGGAAGTGATCTTTTGAGATAATACATTATTAGTTGAGTGACTGTCTTAGAAATAACAAAAATAAAAACAGTAGACAAGCAATATACCAAGAAACGTCTTTTATAGTTCTCCAGGTGCTCCTTTGGGTCACGTTTAGTTACTGTATAACCTTCAATTTGGTTCATCTCCTGCAGTAAATACATTCTACTACATCAACTAATGTTCTGCAAAAGTCACAATGTTTAAAAGACCAGAGCTTATACACATGCTGAAAACTTGAGATATTAGGATGGTAATAGTAATTAACTACAAACAATGGAGAAAGGGCAATCAGATGCACGAAGCATACAATCTTCACGGAAGGTCTGGAGAAGGGAAGTACCCCCAAGGGGTATAATGTTGATTCCGAACATGTGATCAGAGGTGGAGCTAGATTTGAACTTTATGGATCCTGAATTTTAAAATGACGGAGTTCATCAAGTGCAAATAACTGGGTTCTAAATTGGTATAATACATAAGCATTCACTCAAACTTTTAGTTGGCAAGTAAGCACTCCAACTTTGAGCGTGCACATCTAGACACCTCAACTCGTCTCCACCTATGTCAGTTACACTCCTAACATACAAAATGATCATCTAGACACCTCCAAATTTATGTGTCATGTCAGCACCAGATGTCCATGAGACAGTAAGACGAGTTGGAGCATTTAGTAGCCAATTGAGACCAATTTTAAGGGTCTGATATTGTCTTATGCCTAAAGTTATAGGTTTGTTGGTAGATTTTCCTATTGTATGCAAAGCACGAGGATGGGCACTATAGAACTCAAGCAGAAAATCATTATAAACTTGACAGTAGCAAATTCCAATAATAGCTTCGACGAACATAATGTTCTAATATTCAAGTGAAAATATTTTGGTATATAACTATAGTTAAAATTTACTTCTGATGGTCAAAGCATTCCATTGGAAGAGTATCAAAGAAAAGGTAATATGTGCAATACCTTGATCCATGCTGCAAGTTTTGTCCTGCCTGTTGTAATGTCATAGTTTTTTACCTCGAGCAAGAAGGGCTGGAATCTTTCAATGAATGGCGCGTAAGCTATATCCACCTGTCCATCACATATACAAGGTAGTGAATACTGGAACACGACATAAAATTGCTTCATTTGCTACATCCCCAGAAAATAATTCTCATGGTAAACGTTAACAGCAGATCTCACCTTTTCACTTATTAATGTTTATGTTGCTCGGACTCTTCAAAAATGTCAATGGTCGTATATCAGACTCTTCAAAAGTAGTGTAACTTTGGAGAATCCGACACGGGTAAGACATTGAAAGTGAAGAGTCCGCGCAACTTAGACTATTGCATCTATAGATGAGGTCTTTTACGAGCGTATATTGAATGACGAAAAAATAAGATGTAGATACTCACCAGACTTAATGAACCAAGGAAGAAAGATCCATCAACAAACTTGGAAAGAGCAGTCTCAATGGAATCAAATGCTGCAACTACACCAACTCGTCTATTATGATTCTACCGCAAAGCAAATATGTAAATTATATAGGAGTTGAAACTTACTGGCATCATTTATTTTGTCTTCCTTTAAAGACGAAATTACAGCTTTGTAAAAGGAGTCAAAGTAGGAGAATAATTCTTCTGCGAATTCTCTCTTGGAAGGATCCTACATTAGCGAGCACACAAGTTGAGAGACGGGAAAAGTAGGAAAATCTCAAAAGAAATCCTATCAAGAACTTACATCAGGGAAAAGTGATGGCCCTTCAAAGTTACTGTCAATATATCTAATGAGATCCATACTCTCTCCCTTAACTTCATTGTTGTGTTCCAGTGATGGTACCTGTGAAAGAAAAGAATTAAGTTCTCGGAGTAGCACAACAAAGTGACAGCATAGTGTAATGCAATGAACTAGTATATGTACATTTTGCCACCTAAACCTGTCAATTAGCAGACCTAAATCGACTCATTTACCTTTAATCAATCAAATCGTTCATAGATAAGCTAAACTTTCTTTCTGGGGCCTTTCAGTTTAACCAACTTGAAATTAATTAAACTCGAAGAGTCTAAACACACATAAATACACAATCATTTTAGTAACAAGAAGCGGGCTAAAGCCACAACGGGTCCTTGCCATCTGAATCAGTAGAGATATGGACAGAAGGGACATTTTTACTAGTAGGGGGTTCTGTGGTTCCTATGCTGCTGCGAATTTTTAAAGTTCACGATATGTAAGCAAAATGATTGACGAACCCTTAGATCGCAGATAAAAATATATTAGAAGGGAACCTCAAATACACACACATGAGAGGGACAGAGAGACATCATTGGTTTCAACTTATCATTTAGGAATTGATAAAGCTGGTTTATAGATTTACTGTGCTAAAACAACAAGCAGAACAGCTTAACTCTATTACGGATAAACCTTCTGCCTGGACTGCAGAACTTCAAAGAAAGCAGAGACTATAGACCATTTGAATAACGGCATAACACATAAAACATATACTCAAACTTGGCCTTAGCTGATAATTAAGCACTTCAACTTTGAGAGACCACATGTAGCCACCTCAACTTGGTCTCAACTGGCAGCTATACACTCTAACTCGTCCCCACTGTGTCATGGACACTGTCCACGCTGTCGTGGAAAATAAATTTTGGTGTCTAGATGACCATTTTGTAAGTTGGAGTGTTCAACTGACACAATGGAAACGAGTTGAGGTGCCTAGATGTGCATAATCAAAGTTGGAGCATTTACTTTCCAGTTGAGGCCAAGTTTGACAGTGTATTTATGTATATTGCCTTTGAATAACTGTCACCATTTATTTGAAACAATAATGTCACTTTCACCTTATTTGCTGGATAAACCTTCTCCTTATACCAATCTGGCCTGTTCTTTAGATCAATAGGAACCAACTTAATCTCTTCCTGCAGCGCCTGATTCACATACAAGAATATAAATCAACTAACTTTATAGGTACTGGAAAAATTCGAGTGCACCCTAAATTTAACCAAATTCTAGATCAATAGTTGCTCCATACAAACCTTACAATTTCTAGCAATCCACGTACGTTGGGCATATGGGCATGAGTAAGAGATATAAAGCCTTCAACCAAGAAAATGAATAAATTGACTATCACAAGGGAGATAAACTAATTTATCAGGCTGATTTCACATATGTTCACTGAATTTTACCAACTAGAAAAGTAAAGTTACAAAACTGTCATCACAAAACTGTATCCGCCATAACAAAAAAGTCACCTTGATGGGTATGTTTTACTTCATAGTGGATAATGTTTAGCAACTTTAATGTTATAGCAGAGAAGGTTCAATTATTAGCTAGTTTAATGCGACAAAACAATAGACATTATCGTTGTAGTGTATAAAGGTCAGGAACCATATTTGGACTAACCATATAATATCCGACATAGAATTTTATCCATTATAACAGTAAAGTCATAGATTTTTATGCACTATATCAGCAAAAGTCACTTCAATGGATAAATTTTAGTACTTTATAGAGGATAATGTTTAGTGACTTCATTATTGTAGGTGTTAGTTACTTTTAACATGACAAAAGAATAGTTAAGTGACTTAGTTGTATATAATTCAAGTATTTAACCATATCATATCATACAAAGAAGAAGAATAGAAATGCAACAATCACATTTGAGACAAACAAAAAAGTAAAAGAGCAACTAACTTTGGAGTTCCATCAAAGATTGCTGGTGGCTCTGAAGAGGAATCAAGGGCAGGAGGAAGCATCTCTCTAGAACTTCTGAACAAACAAGGAATTGTTAGAACTAACCAAAACTGTTGAACCCAATAGAAGTTGCGCCTTTTAGAATCGAGTGATTTCACAGATGATCACTTAACTAATAGATATTATCCCAAAAGGTCTCTTTTGTTCTTGATTTCAATTTTCCTTCAACTACGAAGGTGATTTTCCGAGATGATAGCTCTTAGTTGAGTGACCATCCGAGATCGATGTTTGAAGACAAGTAAGAAAGCAGAGTAGAAGAAATTACAACAACATACTAAATGTATCCTATAAGTGGGACTGGAGAGCATAATATGTACGCAACCTTACTCCTACCTTGTGAAGCTAGAGAACAGAGAAGATAACATAAACAAACAACAAATAATATGATAACTCAAAATAAAGGAAACAACAAATATTTTTTTAGATTACATTTGAAACAATATTTTCTAGTTCACTTACCAACCTTCATAAAAAAGATAAGGACTCAATAGTTTTTTTGTAAAAAAAAAATCAAAAAATTAACTCAATGTAATCCTTTTTCGAGTTTCACATAATAACTATCAATTGTTTCATTTTTGCAAGCGATAGATGATAAAAGTAAACAATTTATTATTTGAAATGTGTTTTAATACATAGATGGTGTTTTCGACGATATGTCAAAAATAAGTAAAAAAATAACTTATTTTCCGGATAAATATTTTACATGAATTACATTTTGCATCTTACCAACCAAACACACCTTAAAACTATAAGAACACGAGAATTCCAGAAAATAGCTAAAAAAAAATAGAGAAAGAGAGTACCCAGAAGCAATTATTGAAACAGCTGGTAGAGCACAAATTTTGGGGCAACCAATGTGATTCCATTTTAATGGGTATCTAGCATTAGAGAAAGTGAAAGAGAGTGAACTGAAATTGGTTCTCAAAGGAAGAAGAATTGGAGAATTGACATTAATATGAATCTGATGCCCAATGCTCGAAGCTGCCATTTTTCTCCTTTAGGTTTTGGTGATTTGGTTCGTTAATGCGTTGTACTCCTTATCTCTCCCCTCTCTCTGGCAGAACTGTGTTTTTCTTCTTTCTACTCTTTTCCCTCTTAGCTTTGTTTGGACGGTTGTTATCCGATGTATAGAATTGTAATATAATTTGGTATAAATACGTTTGTTTTGATTGTTACTTAAAATTATATTGTATCGTTTTTATAAGGATAAACAGATTTCATTATATGTAATGATTGAATTGGTGTGATCGTGTCTTTACTTAAATTCTATTGTATGGTTTTTTTTATAAGGATAAAAAACTCATTTTATGTAATGATTGATTTGGTGTGGTTACGTATTTGCTTATTATTAATAGTTTTATTTTAATAGTTACTCTACTTTTTTCGTAGTAATTACAATTTTTTTATAGATTTATCATTCCGATTATGAATATGTGATATTATGTAATAACGAAAAACAATATAATCCAGTATTTTTGAAAACGTATTTGGGGCGAGTCTCAGGACGAGTCTCGGGAAGGGGCGTATCAAAAACACTTCGAGGTGTAAATTAAAGACGTAGATCCATTAGGCATAGGCATTAGCCCCAAGCATAAAAAAGTAAATCTTAGACGTAAAAACGTTCGCCCTTAATTATTTTATTTTTTTCTTCAAATCATATTCATGATATTTCTCAAAAAGTAATTATAGATTATTTTTTTTGTTCATTACCGATTATTAATACTTATCTCAAATAAAAATCATAAATCATTGAAAGATTTACTTTTGCTTATTTTATTAATAATTAAACTAAAAATTGAATATACATGTGATTATGCCCCTTAAAACTATGAGACTTACGTCTTGTGTCTCAGGACATACGCCTCACCATATACTATGTAAAAGATTTCACCTCACGCTCTGTCTTTACTATACAGATACAATCTATTCAAATATTATATTTATTAAAATAATATAATATAATATAATTGAAGCAAAGTCTAGGACCTGAGCAGAGAAAATAACAAAAATATCACTTGTGATTTTGATTACATTCAGAAATAATTTTTGAATATTCTTGACTCTTTAAATTTATTTTAAGCCAGCATTTTTAATTGATAAACTTGTAGATACAGATATACATACTTGAAAAAGGATTGACGAGGTGTAGAAGGAATAATATTGAATATGGTGAATTTTAGTAGTAAATAATTTAATTATTATTAATATTTGTATGAGTTATATTTGATAGGAGTATTATTTTATATTTAATATTTGATTTGACGTAAAGAAAATAATCTATATTACATCAATTTTGAACAAAATTCTTTATTTATATAAGTATCTTTCACAAATATAGTAAAATGATGTTAAAAGAGTTTTGAAGAGCAATAGTGATTTTATTATGCTAATGCATGAATATTTTTTTTTACTAATATCCACATAATTCCATATCTTATATACACCTTAATGCCAAATACATCATATAATATTTGCATTGATTATACTTAATGCGACTCTACTATGAAATTCAAACAAAATTAATAAAATATTTTAATATAGAAGAAAAATTGATATGATTATTATATTATTTTTTTTAAAAAAAATTAATAAAGCATCTGAAAATAATGATAATATATATTTAAAATAACTGATCGAATCATAATTAATATCTTTAAATATAAGATAAAATAATTTTACATTTTATGAAATTATTATCTTTTATATATCATATCAAATCATCTCAAGAATTTTGTTAATAATAATAATAAAAATATATCTAACATAATTTTATAAATTAAAGACGATAAAATATATGTAAATATTACACCTATTTTGCCTTTTTTAACTTCTTTAATGGTTTGTTTGGTATGACATAAATATTTTCAAAAACATAAAGTTTATGAAATACCCCTAAATTCTATCTTAGCACAAAAGATAAGGCAATCCAATTCTCAAGCTATCATCAATGGAGGCTGCTCTCTTCAGCTTACCTTCCTCTTCCTCTCACTCTTACCCATTTTCCGTGAAATCCCACTTCAACAATCCCTTCATAATCCCCCATTCCAGTTCTCACCTCAAACTCAAACCCAGAACTCTAACTATTCGTTCAGCCATTAGCAGAACCAAGAAAGAAGAAACAGTCGAAACAGTGAAGCAACAGCTTGAAGATTGTTATCTCTTAGCTGGAATCAGTTACAAGGGGTTAACAGTTAAGCAATTTCAAGATCTTAGGGCTCAACTCCCAGAAACAACAAAGCTTCTTGTTGCTAAGAACACATTGGTACTTAAAGCAATTGAAGGGACAAAATGGGAAGCATTGAAACCATGTATGAAGGGAATGAATGCTTGGTTATTTGTTCATAGTGAAGAAATCCCAGCTGCTTTGAAACCTTATAGGACTTTTCTAAGGGAGAAGAAATTGGAAGATAATGATTTTACTGGTGGGGTTTTTGAAGGGAAGTTTTATGGGCCTGATGAGTTTAAGGTGCTTGAGAATTTGCCTACAAGAGCTGAGATTTATTCACAGCTTCTTGGGTCTTTGAAAGGACCTGCTTCAGCTGTTGTTGGGACTATTCAAGCTCCAGCAAGGAATTTGGTTATGGTTCTTAAGGCTTATGTAAAGAAATTGGAGGAGGAAGAAGGTGGAAGTCAATAATTTTTGTTGTAATTCTTGGATATGGTAAGCTAATACTATTGTCTATTTGGATCAATATTTGAAATTTTTCTGAGAGATGGAATTTTGTAAATTTTATGTTTTTGGTAGAATGAATTTATCCTTGGCCAATTGTTCTAAATTTGTGTCCTCGTATTTGGCGGATAATTATCTGGATTACTTCATAACTGTTTGAGAGGATTTATGTTATGTGAAATGTACTATTCTGCTCTTTCCATTATCACTGAACCAAGAAAATAGTCTGTATTCCTGCTTCAGCTCACTATATTTGTCAAATATTAAAAGGGCAGCTCGGTGCACTAAGATCTTGCTATTTGCTGAGTTTGGGCTTTGGTAGTAGTCTGGAGGAAGTGTGTAGCTTTATTCTTGCAGTTTCTTGCTATTGTTATATGTTGATCGCACTATATTGTTGACGTTATTGTTTCTTGCATGTATCCTCTGCAGTGCTTTCCTATTACTAGTTCTCATGTTTTCCTTATTGTCGTTTTCCCTTTTTGTTAGTACTTTCATTTACTTCACTTGAACTGAGGGTCTTTTGGAAACAACCTTTGTACCTCCACTAGGTAGAGGTAGGGTTTGCGTACACTCTACCTTCCCCAGACTCCACTTTTTGGGATTTCTCTGGGTGTGTTGTTGTTGTTGGGAAATGCCGGACCACGTTGCATCTATTGTTAGCTACTTTAGTTTGCATTTCTGCAAAAGGTTGTTTCTGTGCTTAAACCATGACCTCTTGGTGAATTGGGCAGCAACTTTTGCGATTGTACCAAACTCTCCTCTTCCTATGTAGTAAAATAGGGTAGAATATATAAAAAGAAAAGAAACAGCAGCATCAATCCTACCTCTTATAGGACGCATCTTCCACTTTGTAAGTGAAAGGGCTGAATACTCTGGCTTTGTCACTCAGTCCTTTATCTCCTCTTTTCCCCTTCCAGCATTCCAAGACTTACTTTAGTTTTGCATGGCTATAATCTGGTGGATGACTTCTCTTTAGAAATAAATTTAGTGCCTTTTGTTTAGGGAAAGGATGGACTAGTTGTTATGGTCGGTGAATAAAATTATTTTAGAACTTTAATGTTGTTTACTGGAATTAGTTAAAGGCCTCTGAAGAGATATTATTAGGAGGACAAGGGAGCAATGTCATTGATCTGGCACTTAAGCCATCTAATTTTAAATGGGTGAACAAGATTGCATTTTGTTCTATTTCAAAGCATGCCTATACTTCTGCTTTGAAAAAGCTACGACCTTTAGAGGCTCCAGGGGATTCTCTAGATGGTTAAGCAAACGTTATAAGCCGAATGGTTTTCAGTAAGTGAAGAAACTTTCAGTTTTATTCTATGTCAGAACATACCTGATCATTGTTGAGAATAAGTTTCTGTTGATGACTTTGGAGATTTGGATTCTTCTAAATGGTTGCACAGATAGGCGTCGGGTTTATGGTTGCAGACAACAATTTGAAATAAGTATGCCTTTTTGTAGGCTTAGACATAACAAAGTACTAGGTGTGCATGGATATTCTACCACTCTTGATGATCCCAAATATTTACTTCCCCACTACATAATGGGGCTTTTTGCTCTATGAGATGCACAGTCCTACTGATGCAAGATTATTCCGTCAAAATGTGAAGACAAGGGATTTATCACAAGTTATTAGTATTACTTATTGCTTTTGAACATTCTGATGCTAATATGAGAAATCAGCATGAGCAAAGGCCTAGTCTGAAAAGCTGGTGAAGAGATCTTTTACCCTTTGCGATATGCTGCTTGTTGTTTTAACCAATAGCCGGAAAACCAAGAAAATGTTGATGACCATCCGTTCATCCAGCCTTTACTATACGAACTCTCCTTTCACTGCTCTTCTGCAACAAAAGAAATTTCATGTCTCAGGGTATGTCTTTGATGTTGAGATTCTCCTCCATAGCAACCATCAGTTATCCACCTGAAAATGACCGCACTTCCTTTCCCAGATATTCTCTTTTTTTAAGAATAGTTCCGCCTTCTGTTTCTACCTTGCGAGGTTACTCTGTTGGTTCTTGTTTGACTTGCCATTCATGCACTAAACTCTGTTTCAACTCTCGATTGAAATTTCATCTCAACATTTATTTGTGCTGTGAATATAATTTTGACGACTTCTCTAGAGTTCAGATGCCTAAGTTTTAGTAAGCTTTCAGCATGTTGCACAAATTCTGTTGTGTCTAATTGATAGAGTCCCAACATTGGTTCGGGGAATGGAGTGGTAGTCTGCTTATATGGACTTGAGTAATCCTCCCCACGTGAGCTAACTTCTGGGGGTTGAGTTATACCTAGATGTCATATCTTTACAACATTGATTTGTGCGGAAGGAGTAAATTTCCTTCTGCCTATCTAACTTATCTTAGATGAACGGCGAACTCTTTTCACAAAGCTTCACTTATGAAGCTCTGTAGGTATTTCAGTTTCATTAATGTGTATCGTGACTTGCTTTACTTGAGTCGAGAGATGATAGCCTATCAGAAACAACATTTCTACCTTCGGTAGGGTTAAGGTTTGCACACACACCACCTTTCTCAGACCCTACTCGTGGGATTACACTGGATATGTTTTATTGTTGTCGTAATGTGTATCATAAAATATTGATCAGTATTGAACTGGAGGCTGTAATGGAGAATTCTGTTACTGCCTTTTTAACGTTTTTTTCTCATTATGAAGACATTGTACTCTGTTCCTACCTGATTTGTGCTATCATTGCTTACTACGACTAAGGGCTCGTTTGGACATGATTTATTATTTGACGTTGAAATTTTGTTTCGATATGTAATTCGTGAAAACTATCTAAGTTTCTCAACTCTCGTACAATTTTACCAAATAAGCAAAATCATAATTCATAAACAAGGTATTGGTGCATTCTCATGCTTGCAGTTGAATGTTATTATAAATTTTTGAATACATACAATTATACAAAGATTTACTAGTCAACAACAGAAGTAATTAATTATTTTTAATATTTATATTCTTCGTATAGTACAAATGATCTATTTACGTTGAATATAATTTGTTTTTCTTTGCAAAATTGAACTCTCAAAAAAAAAATATGACAACTGATATAGGAATGGGAATGCATTGTTGTGGTATTCATTCCAAATTATTATTAGTTCATAATCAACAAAATTAAATTACTTTACATTATAGAACCAACAAAATGGATAAAAAAACAATAAATCTTAATCTAGAAATGATAAATATCTGATACCACATAATTTTTTTTTATCGTAATTAGGACACTGATTTTATAATACGCGTGAAACTTAGATATTAAAAGATTATAACAAATAAAAAGTAGGGTAAAGGCTCAATATGCCATCGAATTTTTAGAAAATGCTCATTTATGTCATCAGTTAAAAGTTTGACTTATTTATGTCATTATCGTTAAAGAAAAGACTCATTCATACCATTATTTTTTAACGATAGTTTTGCAAAACCATTTTTGACATGTGATCAATTATAATTCGGCCATATCATCAATTTTTTTTAATAAAAAAATCGTAATTCTAGAAAAAAAATTGAACTAATTTTTTTTGAATTTTTTAATTAAATAAATTGAAGACGTGACCGAATTATAATTGGCTTCTTCATCAATTTTTTTTAATAAAAATATCATAATTCTGAATAAAATATATTTTTTTTGGAATATTTTTATTAAAAAAATTAATGACGTGGCCAATTGTAATTCGGTCACGTATCAAAAATGGTTTTGCAAAATCACTGTAAAATAATGGCATAAGCCTTTTCTTTTACGGTAATGACATAAATGAACCAAACTTTTAACTGATGGCATACATGAATCTTTTCTGAAAGTTCAACGACATATTTGAGACTTTTCCCAAAAAAGTAAAAGCAAAATGTTCAATTTTTACAAATAAGTTTTATTAAACAATTTGTAATATATATATAAAAAAAAAACTATGATTTCTATTCGAGAAAGGTGTTAATCACCAACGATGAAGAAAAAAAAGCATTATAATAACTATTTGAAAGATATCGTTACACTAATAATAAAAATATGATTTAAAGCAAAAGCGTCCAAAGCATATGTTATTACGGCAAGTGCTTGTATTTTTACAAGCTTGACGCTTAAAATCAAGCTTTAAATTCTAGGACTTGCGCTCTATGAATCTACCCCACCCAAGACTCGATCGAAAAAACATTTTTAAAAACAAAAACACCTGTAATAATTCAGAAAATAAACAAGCAAATACATTATTATTTAATTATTTTTTTTACCAATTATATACAACAAAACCAAATAATCTCGCAGATACAAACAGGGCAAAAACGAAACTTGTCTTCTCCGAGAAGAGAAGAGAAAAAAAGCCATTCGAATACAGCAGAGAAGCAAAGAGCGAGCATTTCTGCTTCTATCAAACTGTACGAAGCCTCTCAAAGCAACAGCAGCAGCAGAAGAAGAATCTGAAGAAATGGACGATTACACTAGAGAAATGATGGACCTCAAAACCCTCGTTACACGAACCCTAGAGAAGAAAGGCGTTCTCGCTAAGATCCGAGTAATTAACCCCTTTTCTCATCTACATTTTCATTTCTTTAATGTATTTGCTTATAATTTTTTTTTTTGGGACGTAGAATGATCTTAGGATCCGATCTGGTTGTTACATATCAATGCTTTGTGATATTTCTAGTTTTTAAGTGTTTGTTAATTGCGGTGTCTGAGCCAGCTTATGAGCTGCTTGAATCGTTTCAAGTATCAAGTAACTCAGCCAAATTATAAGATATAATAATCCAGGATAAAATGCAGGATTATTTTATAGTATGTTTAGTTGGAGGTATTAGGTAATGCTTGGATTGTTTATTCAACTATTTATACCTTAGTGATAATATAAGTTTATCTCATATACATGGTGGAATAACTTATAACGGCATAATTAATCTCGAGATAACTTGTTTCCAACCAAACGACTCATAAGTGTCTTAGTTTGATTGGGCACGAAGTTTACGAAGCAAGAGAGAATTTTGAATTATGTGGTTTTAACTTAGAAAGATGTATGTAGTACTTTTAAATTTTGTGTTCTTAAACGTGCTACGGAAGATGTTGGAATTGGAAAACTTACGTAGTACAGAAGGAGACTCTTTTCGAGACAAACCAAAAAGGAAGAAAGGCACATAAATTGAGACGGAGGGACAGAGGGAGTACTATTTTGCCGCCTTTGGAATTTGAACTTGAGACCTCATGGTTCTCAATGTGCAACTCTATATTATTTCAACGATAGTATGGATTTTAGAATCCATGAAAAGGATGTATTTGGAACTGTATTTTTATTTTATAAATAGCAACAACCAAGCACTAACACAATGCTCGTGATTAAATGATCAGGGATACCCCTATGCAAAAACAAAAAGAAAGGAACCCGTGTGTACACAAAGCCTATTCCTGTAGTGAACTGATCTAGTCTAGCATGTTGTTTTCATCCTTTAGCTACATAACTGTAGTAAAAACTAAAAACTGATGATCTCTAATTGTTGTGTCACGTTTGCTTCCTTTGAATTGGGTCATTCTTTTCTTGTTGTAGAATTGTATTCAGTATAAGATATTTTACAAATTTTACATATTTTATCGTGTGATGATTTGTAGGCTGAACTTAGAGCAAGCGTTTTTGAGGCAATTGAAGATGAGGATAGGGTAATTGAGAAGGATGAAACCTTGCCCCCTGCGCTATTGGGTAGCTGCAATGATCAGGCAAAACAACTCCATAATTCACCTTCAGGTCATTTTCTATTTTTGTCCTTTTTGTTGGTCTTTTGCTTAAATCATTGCTAATTTTTGTGTTAAAGACGGAAGGAGACATACTTATCTTCTCTAGAACATTTTATCGACTTTGGTAATATATATCAGAAAGCTGAGTTGTTTTCATATAGTGCAGCAGACCGTCTATTAAAAGTTACAATCCGTTGTCTGGATTGACATTTGGTCGAACAACCTCTGGCAGCTCTTCGGACCTAGAAATTCTATCTTTTTTTAGGATCTCATTCTGTGAATCTCACTCCTGATATACCTAAGTCTAACTTGCAGATGGCTACACCTTTTACTTTCCCAACAAATATGTTACTTTCCTGTTTCAGATTCATTTAGTTTGTATTTTGTGATGAAATTGATATCCAAAACAAATTACATTCTCCAATATCAAATTTAATGTTTCCAAGACACTAAAAAGTCTTGGAGAAAAATACTAGAGAGTCTACATTTTTGCTTCCATGTCTGACCGGTAAAAAATCTTTGATTTATCTCGGGTAAACATACTGAAATGCAAATGTCTAGGAGCATGATAATAATACGTTTAGTACTTGACCATATATCTTTTCTCCTTAACTACTCAGCCCTAAATTAACTACTAAAGCCCTACATAGTCTAATATTTCAACTTTTAGCATTTTATGTCAGAGAACTAGTGAAATGTGTTCATTCCATCTTTTGGTGTTTCTTTCCCTTTTTTTGATTGCTTTTAAACACTATCTAAATCATGCTTAATATATATTCCCAAAACCTCCTTTTCCTTCACATTCTTAAGCCAAACTTATTACTATTCTTGGTTTACTCACTATTTGGCCCTCATTATATTGTCAATGCTCCAAATACCTAGCTGGGCGTGCGAGGGTGTGTGGAGTATTTCACATTGGTTGGGGGAATGGATTCTTATTATATGGTCTTGGCAACTCCATAAAGAATGTCCTATCTCAATATACAAAAAACATCATCATTTACAAAAAAATACTAAATTTTGAGGGCTATACCCCTTGAAGTAAAACTTCTCTTGTTACTTGAGAATTTTTTCAAAGGTACCTAGACATGTACCTCTTCTTGCAGTCCGTACATCTTGTGATCAATGCATCAACATAGTTGTGTTTTAGGTCTAAGAAGTGTTAAAATTTAATGCATCCTTGATCCTCGAATAGTGCATCACTTTGCTTATTCATTTTAACAGTTTGGTTGTTCTGTGTGCAGGAAGGTTACTAACTGCACTTGTATGTGAATATTTGGATTGGGCTCAATTAAACCACACATTTAAGGTGTATTTGCCAGAGTGTAACTTGGTAATCATGTACTGTGCTCTCCGGTGTGAATTTATAATACTTTTTCACAAAGTCTTGTCAATATTTAGTTCTAATTACAAAGAACCCATTGTGTGATTGTGCAGCCAAAGGAGTCGTGGAAATCTGAGCTAAAAGAATTTAGCAGCAAGAATGGGTATGATCTTAACAGGAATGGTGACAGTGCTCCGTTGCTTTTGGATGTTCTTGAAGGATTCTTGAAATACGAGGTTTGACACGTATAAACATTAGTTATTGATTGACATGTGTAAAGAAGTGTATCAATATGTAAAAATTGATATAAAAACTTAGTTGGTAGTAACTAATTGTTGTTCTGCTTCTTGGATCTGCAATGTTCTGGCTGTGTTGTTGCTGTTATTCCAGATGGTTGGAGGTGTTAATTTGTGTAAATGTTTTTATCATAGTATTTGCAAATAACAGCTTCCGCCTTCCTGTACTATGTGGGTGGGTCAGTATGCAAACTGTGTCCAGTAGAAATAATAGCAAGTATTGTTTCTAATTTTATTTTATTTTTTTCAGAACTTCTCTCAAGCAAAGGGTGCTGGATCTCTGTCCAACACTGAAGCTAGGAATGTTAGGAAGCCTTCTTCATCTTCAGTTGCCGGGGGCTTACCACCGTTAGGAAGGTTAACACATTAAATATTATCACTTATTTTACTTTTTCATTTGGATTTAAAATTGACTTGGAACCATTTTACCGCACAGGCCAGGTCCTGCTGCCCAGTCATCTGGTAAGTAATCTAGCTGACCCTCCTCCCCCCGTGCCCTGGCAGTTAATTCCCGTCGAATGAATTTCTGAAATTGTTGAGTTTCTAGACAGAAGGGCAGGTTCATCTGTATCCGGATATAGGAAAGATGAATACAACTGGAGATATGAAAATGAAGAGCTTTCGCAAGATGTAATGCTTGCCTCATCTGCCTTAGAAAACCTTCAATTGGACAGAAAAGCTCGGAACCTTGCCACTTCATGGCGGTCAGTGTTTGAACTCTCAAAGGACTTAAATTACACATTTGGTTATAATGTTATTATCTATTGGCTTGCAATGAGTCCTCAGTTTTTGTGGATTATAGTGCCAAAAAAATCACGTCTTTTAAGTGCTCCTCTCCAAAAGACATTACTATGCTTGTAAAGTCCTCCCCTTTTATTTGATAGAGTAGATGTTTGTTACATCTACATGTCAAGGTAAGGGTAAAGAATCCGTACACTCTTACCATCTCATATAGAAATTTGTTGCATGAGTATCATGGGAAGTTCAAGTATATCATCGTGATAAGTGATTGCCAAGAACTGATGATAAGCTGCAGAAGTTCTTGAAAAACATGCATAGAGTAGTTTTTCCTTTTCTCGATGTCTCCGTTGTTTGTCATCCTTTAACTTACTGTCCAGCAAATTGAGTGGTTTCTCAACTTGTGTTGAAATTTGCAGGCATAGAGGTGATGGCATTTCTGAGAATGATGGCAGGATGGAATAAGATTGAGATTATATCATCTCGAAATCACTAATTATATGGGAATTGATGATATCCTTCAACGTAGAAATGCAATGTTCTAATGTACGCTATGTATGATTTAATACACAATATTGCTTGTAGTAATTCGTGTGTGCTTCTCATTTTCCTGTAGTAATTCGTGTGTGCTTCTCATTTTCCTTTCTTCTTTTTATTCTCTTCCCTTATCTCGATGTCCCTTGTGTGGCTAAGCAAGCGTGTTTCTAATGCAATTTTCGTCATGTTAATGGTTCTTGTGCTGGCATATGGGCATTTAAAATTAAGAGTTAAATGCTCAAAAATATAGCTAAATTATCATCTTTTTGCTACTTTTGTATCTCAACTATTCATTGTTCTTTCTTTGTATCCATCGAAACCCCCAATCACTTTGTTTTTTTAACCTATCTCAATCCATAGCTAGCGCATGTAGATTATCTCAACATTGAGGTGTGTTTTAGTATAAAGAGAAGATAATCATCTCGAAAAATTAAAGAAGAAAGAGGGGTAAGTTTCACAAATTACCAAAAAAAAATAGTTTGAAGCGGTCCATATCCAACGATCACATTAGCTCCCTAACTATGACACGAGGGCTATGTAGTTCTCTTTTGACTCTTTTCTTTCCTACAAGGTGTAGGCTACAACTGAAAACTATCAAGACGCCAAACTTTGAAGCTTACAACCTCTGAAGTTCTCTTACATGATCTTATTATATTTTTATAATTATGTGTTGGAGATTTAAGATAATTTTTTTTTTTTACATGTGAGTATGTTTCGCATTGTAAATAGTCCGTACGGATGAACATGTGGAAGAACTAAATCTCCCTAAGGTTGTGGAAACACGTTCGTTCGAACCCTTATAATAACAGAGAATTGCTATAGTCTAAGCATTAACGGGGTGGGGGGGTGAGGGGACTAGTAATTTCTTTCATACTTGTCATCAAGTGCTTGTGTACAACTTGGGCACACCCAGCAAGATATACAATTGAAGGTAATTGAGAATGATTTTACAAATACAGTAAACCGAAATGCTCTTTTTTCCTTTACACCATGTGACTGATTATAGTCTTACTTAAATGAATAAGCAACTGAATACAAAAATTATCACCTCTATATAGATACAGTGACCAGTATTGAAAGCATTCTACATTTGGTGGTCATTATTTGAATCTGCATCTTTAGGCCTCTTGTATTTTCTTCTCAGACTGATGGTCATTTATTTCCTTCTGCTCCTCATTCACTGTTTTGGTGTCATTAACCTCCTCGGTCGGCTTCCCCTGTTTCACTCAATTATTTTTATACCGGATATTAGAACCAGCTGTAGCTTGGTTTTTAAGGAACAAAGAAACCGGATGGCTCATATATTTTTTCAATGCATATTACTACCTGTTGTCTCATTTGGTTTGTATCTTGTGTTATTTATTGTCATATTATTATTGCAATTATGATTCGTTGAAACTTTTCTTTTGAGTTGAGGGTCTATCGGAAACAACTTATTTACCTCACTAAGGTAGGGTTAAGGTCTATGTACATGCTCACTTGTGGAATTACATTGGGTATGTTGTTGTAAAGAAGCCATACTACTACAACTTCGACCACCAATGAGATGTCTGGGTTTATGTAACTTTTCTGTAAGATAATCTGCGGTTATACTATCAAGTGCTAATTCTTTAAAAGGGATTTTGTACTTTGGAATTAAGTATGTGTTACATGGATATATTGCACAAAAGAGTAGGAAGATATAGGACAATTTCATTAGTATTTAGTTATATATCTTATCATAAATCGTGAAGGCTGGAGTCTGGCCGTCTTACAAGTGCACATGTGATGTCTAATAACTGCTAGAGAACTAGATTTCATCCCTGAATTGGAGAAACTTAAGGACATACCTTGTTGCTGTCACGCCAGCCAAGTCCAAACGGTCTTGAGAGCAAACTGATTTTTCTAGCAGGTATCTCTAGTGATGATTCTTGGTTGCCCCCTACAGGAGATGAAACTTGCTGCGTAGATCTATAAAAGAACATATTCTTCCATGTTAGACAAAATACAAGCTATGCATTAATGAAGGTAGTATGTTTTTCTTATTACTACATACATACGCATGTATTGTCCTTTGGCAACCGATGAAGCAGTTGCAGTAAATAACACCACGATCACCAGCACATGGTGTTTAATAACGCGACAAAATTAGAAAATGTAAGTATGTGTATATACCTTGGAGAGGGAAGCACTTTATCTTGTCCAGATTGGTACTGCAAGGTAGCCTCCAACATCGATTCTGCCATAACCACCCTCTTTTCCGTCTCAGCAAGGGAAGCGATGGCTTCTTCATACTTTTCCTGCAGGTTGTTGCAAAGACAAGCAGGATGTTCAATATATCAGCCAACAATGTCATATTTAAATTCCACCATCATGCATGAAATCATGAACTAGATAGGTTTGAGAAGAAAAACACAAAGAATCCGGCTGAGTAAGAATTCCCAGATTAAGAACTAGAAATCCAAATGTTTCGCCACGAAATTTGATCAAGAAGAAACCTGTAGCAATTGAGAGGTATGTCTTTGAGCTGCTGCCTCTTGTTCAGCAAATATGCGAGCATCTTCTGTTACCCTCTGTTCTTGCTCCACCCTCATCAAAACCTACAAAAAATATATAAACCCAGAATTTAAGATAGAGAGATTAGGAGATAATGTTACAATGCATCATCAAACAAGTGACAATAGACTCCGCCGCATCAGCCTCTCCCCCGTCGTCCTCTTTTTTCAGAGGACTTTCGGAATTTTTGCTTCAAAGAATGCTTTCAAGCTAGGAATTTAATTGTCACCTGAAGCATGGCATTCTCTTGTTCTTGCTTAGCAACAAGGGCCTCTTGAAGCTCAGCAACCTGTCTTTCTAATTGCTCAACCTGAGTCCAAAAGAAAATGTCAATGGTCAGATATAATTGTGATCAATTCAATTTTTTCAAGGAAAAGGAAGACGATATATGCCAAAAAGAAATAAGCATATTACGGAGCAGAATATGAAGAGAAAGACTAAAAAGGAAATGGTGATGCAGTCTATTGTGCTAACCATCTAGAAATTCTTCAAGTCTTCAATCCATACTGAAAAGATTGTATGGAAGCACATAGTCACACTCACAGTAAGCCGATTGGATTCATGGCACATTGTGTTATTTATTGATGAATGTGGTTCAGGTGTATATTCAGGAATAAAAGTTGTATTTATTGTCAGGAATCAAGTTCAATCTGGGATATCAATGTAAGCAGGAGCGAACTATAAATGTTAGACCAGCTCTATAAACAGGAAAGGCACATAAAAGAAAGCTTGTAGGAATAGACTGGAAGCTGGGTTATTATTTTTCCTTTGGTGTGTGTGGGGGGTGGGGGGGGGGGGGGGGAGCACATAATTCATTCATAAAGCAGCATCTTAAGTACCCGTGCGCTCAACTGCCGCCTGTTATCCTGCTTGACCATCTCCATCAATGCTGCTTCCAACTCCTCAGCTCTGTGGACATGCAAAAAATTGAGGAAAAGGATCAGTGCCCAATCAATATGAGATCTAGTTCCCTTGGCTTCAAGGTAAAAGATTTCATCATTCGAAAGCTCTCAAATTAGATTTGCAGCAGAAGTTGAGAAATATTCAACTTCAATGAAACCTTCTACAGTTTAACAGGTTCCCTAAATGGACAATTGAACTGCCACTCGGCAAACATCGTAATTTTCCGTTTCTTGGGTAAGAGTTTTTGTGACTTTTTCAGTCAGCTTGACGCTGGCAGGGATGAGATCCCCCTCGCCCTTGAGACAATTATAGCTGAACCTTATAACATTTTGAATAGTTAAATTTGCACCACCTTCCCATGTTATAATCTGGTCTCACTCCCCCAAACTTGAATTTTGACGGTGCTGTGGGAAGGACAAGATTAAGGAGAAAAGGTGGTAAAATATCACAAGAGACGGGATTTGGAGAGCAGATAGGGCAGAGACATGGCCTCAGTTCTTTATTCACTTCTACCTTTTACTTAAATTATGATAAAGAGGTCATTGTTGATGCAGCCGAAGTTCAACATTTGACTTCAGATAAAGGTTACAGCTTGATTGTAGGCCGTAGCATCGATCATAAATTTTTGAAAATTTACACAAAAGTATATTACTTAGATGTTTCAAATCAGCACATTCCTAAGGAACACATAAACACTGGAACTCCAACTCTCCCAGGACTACTTTTGAGAAAAGTCAACCTGGACAATATTGCTTCACTATATAAAGTAGCATTAACACACGAAATATGCACCTGAGTTCAGCAGATTTTTTCTCCTCCAGCAACTTGGACAACTCAACCTTCAGCCAGACCACCTGATTAAGGTCATGTAGCAATGTAAGCAAAATAGATGGAAATCAAGAATTGTGGATGACCAACTCAAACAACAGGTAATGATATTCAGATATTGAGGAATATTACTTTGAGGATTTCCAGAACAACTGATCACTTACTTGCGCACACTACTATAAACTCAGAATGAAATGAAACAAAAAGGATAATACTTAAAAAAATAGAGTTGGAAGTAGGACTATAAAGGATAACAAAGAAAGGGAGTGGAGGGAAATGAAAACAATTTAAAAAGAAAGTAGAATGAGAAAACTTGTGCATGCTTTACCATTAGAAATTCAATCAATGTTCATTTTCTTGGTTCAGCAAGCTACCTACACATTAGCAAGCTAGATTACTTTTAAGTAAAAAGGTCGCATACATCCCCATCACTAAAACTCCAATAGTTATCCGCTCTCTTTTTCAATTTGTTCCTACATCCCAACCATAGGTACATATTGATTTGTAAACTAAGCTTAAATCAATTTGGTGTAAAGAAGAACTAAAGTTTTTGCTTCAAGGACAGTCCTTAGTCCTAATAAAAATTCCTAATTAGGAGAAGCTCCTTTCAAAATTGAGGCATCAAGCTCACTGCCCAGTCAAGTTCTGCTTTATCAGGCGATTCATTCAAAGTTGCCCATTTAAAACAGTATTTACTTGGGAGTAGTATCTTGCTCCAAAATCCTTACTTAGATATTGACCATCCAAATTTCACCAATGAGAACATTTTCTATATGAATAATTCTGAACTAGTACATTCTGCCATTCCAGATAATTGTATGAAACAAATTCTGAAGTCCCCATTTAAGCAAAAAGAAGATAAAGCACGTAAACCAGAAATTATAAAAGACGATGAGGGAAAGAGGTGCAAAAAATTGAAAAGACAGGCTTCAATGGAATATGAATGGGAAAATAGGAAGAAAGTTACCTGTTCTTGGAGATCTGGAGCAGAATCTGCCACATTACCACTAAGGTTCATGTGAAGTTCATCCACATAATTAGATGCATCACTATTCATCACTTCATCAGTTTTTTTATCGGTTTCAGTGGTTCCAACAATTACAGATCCAGGATCATGCTCAAAACTGGAGAGTTTAGAAGCTAAACCCTGACAGTCCCTCCAAACTCGAAGTCCTTTGAACCTCTCTTCAACAGCAGCCTTCACAGCTGGTCGATGCTTATTTCTTAGTTCTTCTAATCGAGCTTCATTAACATTTTGATAGCCCATGCAGGCTGTCAGCACCAGTTGACTGCTATCGAATGTGGAGCCAGCAAGTGACTGCAACAGGGTAACTGCATCCCCTGCATCTTTTGTGGTAACTAATGCAGGTCCTGGATAACGAATGAGTACATCACTTTTGAGCGCCACAAACAAGTAAATTGAATAGCAATAGCAAAGAAGAAGCCTTTAACACAATGTTTAGAAACTTTCCAACTCTCATGAATTTAAAAATTACCATAAAGCTCCATCAAAGCAAGCGCGGTATGGAATAACATCACTCGGTTTCCTTCAAACAGAAGTACATCCCAGACTCTGAGGACTAAAGCCAAAAAAGAAACATAAAGAAAAGGGTTAAATATGCAGTAAGACAATTCAAGAGACAAGAAGAAGGTTCAGGCAATTGTCCTTGAACTGAATCTCTCATCAATTGAAAACCTATAAATATGTAATACCAGCCATACTATAGATCAGAATTTTCAAGACAAGATAAACCAACTGACCACTTTCCCATGGAAGCATGTTCATAAATATGGAGAGGAACCATGGTCCTGTAACCCATGCTACCTGAACTCCTAGGTAATCAAGATGATTAACTGCATGGTTGCACCAATTGGGAAGTCAAAACACATGGCAAGCAATATAATCAACAGAAATTTGAAAAAGGAGCTTGAATTAAGAAAGTGAGAACAAGAGACATACCCAATTTTGGAAATTTCTCTCGCACCAATACCTCAAGAACAAGTTGGTCAACCTGATGAGAGAGAATGTAACAAATAAAATTGTGATCTTGATATTTCTCACAATGCAATTTATGTGTTCAATAGGGGGGAGGGGGTAGTAATTGCATGCAGAAGAAATAGTGAACTGCAGCAAGTAGAAGCAAAACTTGTTTGTCACCTGACACTCTATCATCTCTTCTGAGTAATAGCCATCAAAATAATCATCTAGAATCCCCACTAGAGTCCTGTAAGTTTATCAACATTTTTATTCCACAGGAGCGAAACGTATTTTGCACTTCAGATCAAATAGAACTCTTAAAGTGCAAGGTATTGAAGAACACCAAAGTTGTTCCAACTCTGAATTGGAATTATAACCTCTTCCTTTTGGAAGTGGAAAACTACTGAGAAACATCTTTGTAGAACATAATTGAAGACGCATCCATCTAGGAGAACAAGATGTAGATGAAGTTCAAAACATACCAAAATGCATTTTCCTCGGGCATTAGAAGCAATAGCAGACCAGCAAAAAAATTCATGGCCTGCATTATCAAACGAGCAAAACTGAGCAATACCGAAGGAGAATGATACAATCTTGAGAAAATCTAGTCCACTTAGAAGAAGACAGCTTGTGTATTGCCCAGACAGGTGAACGACAAGTTGGAAGAATAAGACCTTCATATGGAACTGGAAATGTATCATCATGTTTACAATTCATGATATAAAGTTTTCCCCCTTTACATCTTTTTATTCTAACTTACTCATAAGAAAATTTTCGACCAAAAGGTTCTCACCCGGATTTTCTATTACGATCTTTTGGTTCCCTGTTAGGTAATAGTGATAGGCATTCAAAAGAATGTACAAAGCATTTCATTCAGGCTACAATACTACTAACTCTCAGAAGCTCCGATCGGGGCAGCTATCATTTGAAATTTTATCCGGTAACACTATTAAAAAAACATTTATGTGGTGCTTTCCCAACACATCTTAACTTTTGCTAAGTGATTGCGAGAAGATTTAAAAGAAGAATACAAATGACACCGTAAAATATAGAATTCAATCATGGTGATGTAGCAACTGAAGACAAAGAATGCTTTGGGCAGTATTACAAAATTCAGTAACTATAATTATATCTTCTCTAAAGATATCTGGAAAAAAAACTCGCACCAGTTATCAATCAAGAGAGGAAAATGTGGCACTAGTTATTTCTAGCTCTCAAATAAAGCGATAATAAAATACCAAAACTCAATGGATAACCAGTTTGTGTTGTTTTCATTTGCTAAGTCTTACGCCACATGGTCCATCCAAATGTCAAACATTAAAGCAAACATAACAAGTCCCCCACCACCACCCACAAAAAAGAGTGAGAGACCACTACCAATAGAATTACCTGACAGTAGCCTACACAGGGATTATGCCGAGCATAGGCAGTAAGTAAACGCCTTAAAGCATTTCTTCCATCCTCGTCTAGAGCTGGATGTCCAGGAAATGTTCTGGGTAGATCCTGTGTCCAAAGAGCAAGGCAAAGTTGAAGCCAAAGAGGATACTAACCCAACAGCTACATAAAATGTTGTGGTTACTGAAAAAAGAGGTCAATAAGTAGCATGTTCAATGACCTTCTCAATTTGCCCTCTCCAATTTTCAGGAAGAAATGCAGTATCTATGCTTGGGTCCACACAACTTCCATCCTTTGATACAGTGCTTTTATCCTCTGCATTATTACCAGGTTTAGTGCCTAAAGCAAGCAAATCCTGGTAATAGGTCTCCACCCTGCGTGCCTTCACACCCACAAAGGCTTGCCAAAGCTGTGATGCAAGTGTCAAAATTATACAAATAAAGCTGATGCATGAACTCAGATAACTCAAGGAGAAACTGAATAAGAAGATTTTGAGCATTTTATCTAACCTCTCCCCTGAGAGCCATGGGTACTCCACCTCGAACAAGACACTCCAGTTCTTCTTTCCAAGATGGTAAAGACTCTTGACATTTAGTAGCCAAATGACTAATATTTTCATTTAGAGAAACATCTTGCATGGCACCCACATCTAATTTGTCCATAGATTCTGATCTTTCTAAATCATAAAACTCGTCTTCTGAGTCCTCTTCAGATTCTCCTTTTGTGGCACCAGACTCTTCAACTGCAAGAGGATGTTCCTGCAGACCACAGTCTTGCTCATTTTTGGCCAAATTTACCTTTTTTTTTACACGAATGCTCATCATATCCTCAATGGCATGTAGAGTTGGTCTGATCTCCGACCATATTTGGGCCTGATGAGTTTTTCTCTCAACTGAGGTTTTTGTATCATCCTTCTCTATTGCACCTTCAAGATGATCCTCAGAACCACACTTTTCAACGGTTTGGTTATTGTCTTCATCTCCATTCTGTGAAAAGGAGTTTGCCTTCTGAAACAATGATCCAGTATCAGGTTTGCTGGAGTTGCCATCTGCAGACACCCCATTTATGATCAATTGGGCAGACTCCGCCTGCCGTTCCAAAAAATTATTCCACCTATCTGACCTTTCTTCCTCTTCTTCCTAAAAACAACACAAACAGATTATGACAATCAGAAGAAGATTTTTTTCTATAAATCAAAGAAAATCAGAGAAAGGTTTTGCATGGTTGCTGAGAACTGTGGTAGAAGTACAATGGACGGAAGCTTCTCAACATTGTTCAGCTGGATTAATTATGCTTCCTGTGTGGCTAACTAGTTGGATGAAAATTTGTTTAGCTGAATGCTCTTCTTTCTTCCATCCCTTCTCTCTACTTCCCACAAAACTTCTCACCAAGAAATAGGACATTAATTACTAAACCTGTTATCGTGACAAGATAGTACCTTGTAGATATTAGCATATTCACGATATCTTTGTACATGTTGAGGCCGTACAGAGAATCCATAAGCATCCCTGTTCATATTGATAGTCAATGGTCAAAAACTTTTTTCAAAGAAAGCTTGATTGAAACAAAAACTTTGATTAGAAGAAGTTCCCAAAACAAATACATTAAATTAGATATTTCTTCATAATTGAGCATTATTTCTTAAAAGGAATTTATTTTTTTCATAAGTTTCATGACAGCATTATAAAAACCAAAATAAGACAATGCAAGCTAATTGGACACAACAACCGACTGTCAGCCACTTCACTTGTTTAATTGTTTACCAGCCAGCAGCTTATGCAATAGCTGATAAAATTAGTAAACACAAATTATCGAGAAAACACTCAGTTAGTATCCACTACTTCACCAAACGCTCAAAATTGCTATTCAACACTTCAAATCTCGGTCGTACTAATCAATACTCACTTTAAACTCATATATCAAAACAGCATTATAATAATTTAAAGTCATGATACATAAACAAGTACTCAAAATTCGCCTCATCTAGCAATCAAGCACTTCAACTTTGAATCTACACATCTAAATGCCTCAACTACAACTTGTGCTCACTGTGTCTCATGGACACAATACAATAAATTTTAGAGGTATCCAGATGATCATTTCATAAGCTGTTGTGTGTACTTGTCAGCTCCGGGCCAAATTTGAGTATCTGTTTATACATTATGCCTAATCTAAATAAGTTCATTTTCAGCACTACATATCATCATTTTTTTTTTGTCCGGTGAAGTGTAATCCAGAATCCAGCAGCTTCAGCCATTGGATCAAAACGATTTACAAACAGAAATACAATGTGAAAAAGTAGAAAAACGAACCGACTGTAAGTATACAGTATACCTCTTATGATCGAAAGAAATGATGTTAGGATTCAACAAAGTTGTTTCAGCATTCGTCTTCGTCATCATACAAAACAACAATTCTCCAAAATCCTCACCGTCAAAGCTGATTCAAACTTCTCTCCCCCTTGAAATTCTCCGTAAAATCCGAAAAAACGACTCTATTTCAACTATTTTTTGCTAGCATTCTACTCAAATCTCCATACTCACATGGAAGAAAGCGAGTTTATCGTCACGTTATTCTGACGGTATGAGCTGTGTGATTCCTTAACACGGAGTTCAGAGTGTGAGAGTGAGAAAAAAGGGGAGGGATTTTCTATGAAAGAAGAAAGAGAGATCTCAGGGATGGTGGATCAGGTTAAAATGAACCATTATAAGGCCCCATTGGTTGTGGCCCATGACTTTTGTCCAAACTCCAAAAAAAAAAAGAACTATTTACCTTTATTTTCTGCTTATCAATGACTATGGGGGACCAAAATCATTACTCTACACTTTCGTTTCAAAATAAATGATATTTTTACTAATTTACTTTTAGTCAAATAAAAATTAATTTTTCATTCATTTTTAATATAGGAAAAGAAAAATAAGTGTATTTTTCCTGTTTTACTTTTAATACTATTAATTATTTATTTCAAAAATTATTTTTGAAGATAATCATATTATGACAAAATATGTGTGTTAATTAAAGTTTATTTTTTGAAAATAGCAACTTCCCCTTTTTCTTCATTTTTTTCAATTTAAAACTCTCTTTGTTTTACGAAGAATATTCGTGTTTGTTTTACTAGATAGTCAATTTTGGCTAGACTTTTACAATTTTAGTTTATATATTTCTTTGGGATAATATTCAAATACCCCTCAACCTATGCCTAAAATTTTATAGATATACTTATACTATAATGGTCCTATTACCCCGATTTTATTTTATAAGTAATTTTCTACCCGTTTTTAGCCTACGTGACATTATTTTGTGGGACCAACGCTGGTTGATTTTTTTTTAACGTAGTACCACGTAGATCGGAAAGGGGTAGAAAATTACTTATAAAATAAGTTCAGTAAAGTAATAGAATCTTAGTATAGTATAAATGTGTCTTTGAAACTTCGAACATAGATTGAGGGGATACTTGCGTATTTTTCCTATTTCTTGTAAGAAAAAATTATTTTACACGTAAAATATTTAAAAGTTAAGACAAAAAAGTGTTTGATTTGTGACTAATTAGGACAAGTGGAGTAATTGATTTGTGATTGCATGCCAAAGAAACAAAAAAGTAATTCTTTAACAAATCTAATACTGGTGGTTACAATAATCAATATGCTCCTGCCTCCACCTTTTTATCGTTGGATGACTCGAACTTATAATCTTGTCATTTGATCAACTTCCTTTTATTTATATGATGCAATAGTAAATATTCCATAACTCAAAACAATATTGTCTTCATTATTTTTACTTGTTTAATATTTCAAAAATAATATTTTTTTATTTTTGGCTATCACTTTTAACACGTTAAAAAAATTATTTTACTTCGGATAATTATTTATTCTTTAAATTTATCTCTATAACTTAAAACTATACATCAATTGATATATAGATATTATAATAAATACTTGTAATCATTATCAAGTAAAAGTGAACAAAAAGAGAGTTCCTAATATTTCATCAACAGACAATATAATTGAGAGATCTCTATAATTGATGGTAGAAGATTTGGTTACATGTTAAAGGACTTGTAAATATTTTTTCATCATCAAAAATGAAAAAAAATTGTTGAACTCTAAGTTCGAAAGAGCGCGCTTCTCCCTGAATGGACCCACACAACGCGAATCCAAAATAGTAAGACTTCAATACGGGTATCCGATACGAAAACAAAACAAAAAAACAAATGATGTGTCAAATGTTATTTGACCTAGTAGCTTCAAAGATACAAGAGAATCTGAGAGATCATGATTATTACAACTTACAAGAGAGTTCAGTCATGTCAATTACTAGTATTTTGAAAGCTCTATGGTGACACAGTATGTGAAAATAGCTCATTTTGCCAATACCAAAAATGGTAAAAGTATATTTAACAGGATACTTACACTAATGGGGAGTCTAAATTAGTCACATGTTATGGAACAAAATCTGAAATGGTAGCTGGGAAATCGCAAGGCATCTGATAAGTATGAGTCAAATCTAGTGTTTGTCGTCTTTGGGGATGTCCTTCTGAGATATCTCCTTCGGCTTTGCCTTCTCTATTCCCCTACAAAAATATCAATGGCATGTCACGCGTATCTCTTACACATAAACAGAATGACGACTGCAAACTAATAACCAAACAAGCAGAAGCGAAGGATTCAATATAAAGAGAAACAAATATGATGAGATGAGCAAAGATTAAGATACATGAGAAGACAAGAAATGATTAATGAAAAAAAAAGACGTGCAAGGAGAAAGAGTTTTTGAAGTCGAACTTACATGTCAAGAATAAAATTCATAAAACAGTTTTCTATGGGACTTATGCTTCTAGCTATAGAATAAAACACATTCTTTCATGTTATTATGCATTGAATTTTGCTATCATATTCCCAAACTATTTTTGGATATAACATATAATACAAACTTCATGGTATACCAGAAGATATCGAGATCCAATGTTTACTAGCAAAATGAGGCAATAACTTTCTCTATGCTTGGACACTAATTGGCCAGTTATCGAGCTGTAATACCAATAGCATAGCATAGGAGGCTGAACGCTAAATGTGTGAGTGGAACGAACAACTGAACCGAACCATTTTGAGACCTTTCTTCTCTTCAACAGAGTACTTTCTTTCTACCCAAAGGTATAATGCGTGAAAGACCGATAGCAGATATGGCAAATTTCGAGTTTATGGAGGAAATTAGCAGTAAGACCAGAACCAAGAAGATTCTACCTAGAACTGATTAGTGTTAAGCGAGTCAATTACTTCTCACACTGCTACCTTTGTACATTAACACGACTAATTCTACGAATATGGTCAGTTCTCTTGCTTATCACTTACCCTTCATCAACGGATAACTACCTTTATACAATAACACGACTAATTCTACGAATATGGTCAATTCTCTTGCTTATCACTTACCCTTCATCAACGGATAACTACCTTTGTACAATAACACGAATAATTCTACGAATATGGTCAGTTCTCTTGCTTATCACTTACCCTTCATCAACGGATAACTTTTTCAATCCAAACAGAGATGACTAAATGCAAACTATAAGCACAAGACGACTAACTTCAACCAGATAACAAAAAATGAACCGAACAAATGCTTGATTAGAAACAGGGAAGAGTAAGACGAGTAGACGACATACTTAGCCGCGGAAGCAGACTCTTCCTCAAGCCAATGGCGAATTTGACGAACATTGCGCTTGAAGATGGAAGCAGACTGTTTAACATCGCTCCTCATCAATAAAACCACAGCGCTCACTCCCGCAACTGTCAGTATAAAGTTCGTTAACGCCATTCTGGGGATCAATTCGTTTCTTTTATTGTGAGATTGCTTAAAACCTTGCAATTAATCAAGTAGAGAATCAATATATGATCGTACAGTGATTCAATTTGAATGTAAAAGTAAACAGTTCCGAAAATAACAAGAACAACAACAACGCACAAATTACCATATCGAATTCATAACATCATATTGTTTATAAGCTTACAAAAAAAAAAAGCAACAACAACAAAACACAAATATTTTGTAACACGAATCGATAGAAATTATCACATTCATTAAGAAACAAGAAATCGAACAAAAAAATGAAAACGTAACCTAAGTGAAGAAATTGAATTACAGTGATTTAATCGGCAGCGGTAGAGGTGAACTTCAGGAGAACGCCGTGAGTAACAGAGCAAGAATAGAACTAGATCTTAGAGGAAGAGTATTCATTAGGGTTTGCGTTGATTTTAGTTAAATTGAAAAACAAAATTAACTTAGTTGATTTTTTTAATTATTAAAATTAAATTAAATTAAATTTAGGAGAGTGTTTGAATTGATTTAATTTTATATTTGAAAAATGTTCGATAAGGATAAGAGTATCTTTTAAAATAAAATCCAATTACTTATTTTAGGTTGAAAAAACATAAAAAAAAAATGATCCTCATATTCTCAATTTATAATTTTGATTACTTTTTAACTTGGAAGCTATTTTTTTTCTTAAATATATAATTTATGTTTACGTTTGCGGAGTTGAATTCCATAAATAAATCATAAAGTTTTTTTAAAAAAAAATCAGCTTGAAGTTAAATTTTAAAAACATCAAAAAACTATTTTGCCTTTTTTCGATTACAGAAGTTCAAACACTAATTTAATTTTTAATTATTCATTTTCATTTGAAAAATAAAAAACATTTTTTTTCAAATTATCACATGAAATATCCAAATATTCACCTATGTGTAGAAAAAAAAAATCTCTTATAAAAAAAATAACATAAATTTTATATTTTATTAAATTATAAGTGACCTTTAGAATAACATATATAACTTTATAAGATAAAACAAAAAAATATAATTCATGTCATTCAACTTGAGATTTTTATGTCTTTCAATGTTAAATGTACACAAATCAATATTTAAAATTATATAAATTTAAATAATTAAACACATTTGTTATATGATATAATAGCCTTTTATATAAATCCTCTACTTCCTACTTATATATGAGTGTAAAATGCAAATTACCATATTGATGCAAATTGTGAGGTAGAATATCAAATAAAAACATCTACATTTATTTATTTAATGATATATAATAAATTTAAGTGTTTATTTAAGTGAAAATTACGCGATCAAACGAACTTATATCTTAATTACTCGTCATAGTTATAGTTTGCTATATTTATCACTCGTGAGTCGCGACTAACATTATATATTAATTACGTGGGCTGACTTTGAGTTTGTATAATTAGTCACATTTGTACATGTATTATTCGTCATAATATACAATACATATGTATAATATACAATTATCTTATTAATATACACATACAGTTCACCTCTCTTTCCTCTCTCGATCGCCTCTCTCCTCCCTCTCCCAATGTTGCTAGCCATATATACAAATGCATGTGTATAATATACAATTATTTAATGGATATACATATATAGTTCACCTCTCTCCCACTCTTTGACCTCTTTCGCTCGCCTCTCTCCCAATCTCGCTCAAGTCTCTCCTCCCTCTCTCAATCTCACTTGCCATATATACATATAATTATATGTATAATATACAATTATCTAACGGATATACATATATACAATTCACTTCTCTCCCACTCTTTGTCATCTCTTGCTCGCCTCTCTCTCCGAGTCTCACTCTTTTCTATAATATGTAATTATAAATTATAATTA